ATAGAGGATCCACTGACTGCTCTGTCACACTATCCATGCTTAACCTGGTATGGATGCTTACCAGCTGGGCCATATGCTGGTGATTGGGAAAGCTTTCTGTCAGCCTCTTTCCCCAACATTTTTGAGTCCCTTGCTCCTTCAATGCTCTAGGGAGAATGAAACATCTAGGTTGTTGCTCCAGGCTGCAAACCAACCTTTGAAGTTAGAAAACACAAAACCCATGTACTATTCAAAAGACTTTTGAGGGCAAAACACTGTCTTTAGTACCAGCAACCCCTTAGGCTGTCTGAATCAAAACACAGCTGTAAAATTCTATTATTTTTGTTAAAGGCATTTCAAAAGAACATATAAATTTAAAAGCAAACTTAAGGATGCTAAAAGAATGGTGGTGATGATGATATGAAACAGTTCAGTAATGATGGTAAAACAAAACTGATTGAGAGATTCAGGCAGTTAAGAGTCAGTCCCACAGGAAATAATAAGAGTGGTCTAACCTAAAGCTATGCTTACAAAGTAGCATAGTTCCAGCGTACCAGCAGAGTAACAACGGGCTTGGATTAGATGAAGCAAGTAAGCATGCAGCTGTTCCCCTGAAACATTGTTCTGGCTAGCCTGATATCCCATCATCCCCTCCTGAGATGGCTCGATCCCTTCAACCAATCAGGAGCTCTTTCTTAGCTAACTAATTGGTAACTTTCTGCAAGAGTAATGCATTAGATAAGCAGCTGTGTCCTGTTATCATACCATGTGAACTGAAGCAGACTCATCTTCTCAAAAACACTCCCCAATCCTAAGACCAGATATATAATTCTCCACACCAGTGAAGGTGGGCTCCCTAACTGCATGGACATTCTTTCTCTCCTCTTAACTCATGGCAGTATTTTGGTAGACCTGATGGAATGATCAACCCTTCCTTGCTGGTTTCCTCACACATGGCCACAAAGGGTTACAGTCAGTTATAGAAATTATGTGAAATTATGTGCTTCTTCTCCTAGCCTCTTCCTCCACTCGCTCAAACAAATGTGTTCTGCTTTTCTCCTTGCAGTGCTAACCACTCTTAAAAGTCACATCTACGTCATGGTGAACAATGTACCAAGTTTCTTTTTCACTAACTCTGGTTTTGAATATAGTACAAGTTACAAGAGGAGTCTTACGTTGCATTATGCTTAGCGTGCTAGACTCAGATCTAGGAGACCTAACACTCCCTGTGCCATGAAAATTCACAGGGTGACATAAAGCTAATTAAGCCCTTCTCAGTCCAATTTACCTCACAGGGTTTTTGCGAGGCTAAAGGGAAGACCACCACACATGCTTCCTGAGCTCAGTGAAGATCAGGTGGGGTACAGAAGCAAAAACTAAAACAAATTATGCATTTCTGGGCAGATGTACGGTTTAACCATAGCTGAGGGAAACAAAGAGGAAAAACACACCTGAGAAAGTAGCTTTTGTGTCTGCACCAATTCTGAATGACAGCCAGTGGTACAGTGATGTGGTTTCCCCACTTCACATTTCACCCTCCTGGCCTCTATGGAACACGACTCCCCTGTATTAGCATTTTGACTAATTAACAATCTCAGGACAACACCTTGTACAATGCAAAGTAAGGACTCAATATTCTGTTAGCCTTGCTTACATTTTGTGAACTAAACAAAGATTTATCAAGACAACAGTTGAGAAGCATCAAGGCAAGGCAAGCATCAAGGAGTGGGGGAAATGTTCTCCTTTGGTAATTTTTAGGTTGTCCTGGACAGCACTGATAGCATGTGCATTTGAGGCACTTGAAAAGCAAAGAGGCCCCAGCAAGAAGATAATATAAACCATGCTTTCTGAAGATTAGAGCTTTCCATTGTTTCATGTTTTATACTTCTGCTCTACATAGCTTGGAAACATTAGTTTTTGGGGTAAACAGTGTGAATCTCCAGATATGTTTGGCCTACAGCTCTACTCAGTTAGGAGAGGCATAACTGTCCACCCTTGTGTAAGGGGAAGAGGTAACAGGATACTTAATGGTGTTTCTCTGATACTTGATTTGCTTGCAAATATGTATTTAGAAGTCGGAGACATTATTAGCAATGCTGACTCAAGAGATTCTGGGAGTTGTCATCCAAAAAAGCTTTTCTGAGCTCTCCCTGACTCTCTGGGTGGTTAGTTTATAAATATAACCTTTCTCATTCATTTGACACAAAAGGATATCATGATAATGTATCCAGAAATTAAATCTCTCTCTGTCACTCTCTCGCTCTCGCTCTCTCCCAGATAGGAAATTGCTACAAGAAATATTGTTTAGGTTGACTTTATACCGAGAGAAAGCTGCAGTTGTAAACTGTTCTTTTGTTTTGCTACACAAATTCCACAGGCATATTACTATGTAAAAGCAACCAATTTTAAAGATGTTAAAGCTGAAAATCCATTCTTTTTAAAGAACAAATTCAGGCTTGGGAAATCACAAATAGGACAGATTTCTTAACTATGTTGAGCTCTGGATACCCGGAACACGTATCTATGGTGAATTAATGTTTGTCTGATACAAAATCAAAGAATAATGAAGTTGGATGGGGCCCATAAGACCATAGAGTCCAACCTCCTGCTCAATGCAGGGATACAAGTCAAAGGATATCTGCCAGGTGGCCATCCTTTATTAATCTGAAAGCTGATTAGGGGGTTTCTAGCCCCCCTGATCATCCTTACCAGGTGGCCATCCTTTATTAATCTGAAAGATGATCAGGGGGTTTCTAGCCCCCTTGATCATCCTTGTTGCTCTCCTTTGAACTTGTTCTAATTTGTTGGTATCCTTCTTAACTTGTTCTAATTTGTTGGCATCCTTCTTATATCCAGAACTGAACACAGTACTCAAGATTAGGCCTAACCAGTGCTGAATAGAGGGGAAATAGTACCTTAGTTCAGAACTGTTTAGGCTGTGTTTCTCTGGCTTTATTCTCTACACTTCATTGACAAATCTCCTCATCGTACTGGGAGATCAAACAGCAAGGAACAGTGCTTAGCAGAACTGTTTAGGCTGTGTTTCTCTGGCTATATTCTCTACACTTCACTGACAAATCTCCTCATCGTACTGGGAAATCAAACAGCAAGGAACAGTACTTAGGATTTATACTGGAGAGCCATAGAAGTTCTTTAAACTGAGTAATGCAGAATTCAAGCATATATTGAAAGAGTGCTCACCAGATGGATTTTATTAGTATGTGTGCTCGAGTATAGGACTGGGACTTGGGTGATGCAGGTTCAACTATAATAAATCATGGAACTCAACTGGGTGAGTGTTGCATGACCGGTACCAAGGATCTGGTTTTCCAGCAACAACCAGTGTTTGTACTGTACTGAAAGTAGCAGCCAAGTTGGACCAGATGTAAGTGATGTTATCAGTCGGATGTTTAGCAAACAAATCAGAGTCAGCTGTCAAGGATTCTCTCCAGTGTCCTTGGAAGTAGAATCATAGAATAGAACCATGAAGTTGGAAGGATTAAGTCAACTGTCTGCTCAGTGCAGGAAAACAAATCAAAAGATATCTGCCAGGTGGTTGTCTAAATTTCTCTTTAATGCCTCCAGTGTTGAATGCCTCCAGCCATTAATCATCATCTTCTGAGTATGATTCTTTAGCCAATTGTGTATCCACTTGACACTTGATCTATCCAGCCCACACCTAGTTAGCTTGCTAATCAGGATATCATGGGGCACTTAGTCAGAAGCTCTGCTGAAGTCAAGATATACAATATCTGCACAGCATTCCCTCTGTCTATCAGGGAGGTTACCCAATCAAAAAGTGAGATCAGATTAGTCTGGCAGAATTTGTTCTTGACAAATCCATGTTGGCTTCTAGTTATTAATGCATTGTTTTCTAGGTGCTTGCATAATGCCCATTTTATAATATGTTCCAGAATTTTCCCTGAGATTGATGTCAGGCTAACTGTAGTTCCCAGGTTCCTCCTTTTTGAAGATAGGGACACATTAGCCCTCCTCCAATCACATGGCACCTCACCCATTTCCCATGATTTCAAGAAAATAATGGACAATAGTTCTGAGAGTTCTTCAGCCAATTACTCTTGTTATGAGTCACTGTCACATCCAAATTATAGCAGCACTAGTAGATTTTTCAAGATACGTGAAATATTTCAGGAGGAATTTTGTCAGTGACACCCTCAGGCAGTTTACATGGCCAAGCAGAGATTTGAACTCTTCTGAGTCTTAATCTGTCACTATGTCTCCTACACCACAATGGTAGTTAATTGTATTCATTCATCATTAAATTTATATAGTCTGTTCTTCCATGGGAAAGTGATAGAGTAAAGGTATATGCATACAGTGGGTACCCAGAAGCCAGTGGCTACAAAGGCCTTTAGCTCAAATACTAAATGGGCATATCAAATTGCAGTCAAGCAACTGGTTCTGCAGTGAACATGCTATTGTGTGGTTGCTTAAAACTTGTTATTACGTGGGTGAAGTTAATGCCTCTAATAAAAAGCAATTTCACTGATCTTACAGGTTTTGAAAATGAGAAAACAACATTAGACACACGAATGTGTTCAACTAACAGCTATTTTTTAAATCTTCAGGAACAAAAGTAAAATCGGACATTATCAAAAGAGAAAATTTAACTACATAGGGCCCAAGAATGTTCTAATATTGCCGACTCCCATTACTCCTACAGACTTCTGCCCCACTTGAAAACATTAATTTCTGTTCCACAAGGACTGCTAGCACTGAGCTTTAGGGCTTCCCCCTGGAAGAAGCAATACACAATAAAGCCCATTTAGACACTTGCACAGTTGACTGGAAACTGTTTTCACATAGTAAGATCCTACCTTATTATGCATGAATGGAATGGGAGAAACATGGCCATATAGCCAGGAAACAGACTGGTCATGGGGCAAAACATGGTAAGAACTGGCCTTGCCTACATTATTATGGTAGTTACACTTGTGCCTCCAGTGGCATTAAACTGTACCATTGAAAATAAGACTTGCACTGCTGTTAGGTGTGTCTGAAGTTATTTATCCACCTCTGCCCTCATGCACCTAAGAAGCAGAAAAACTGATATATTTTTAATGCTGCTGCTAACTGTGGAATCAAGAGCACAACCTACTTCTAAAGAAAAACATCATAGTAAGAGGCAGAGCAGCTGTAGATCCTCCCACACTGAAAAAGGCACCCAGACAGCCAGTTGCCCCATGCCTGCAGAACCAAAGAGAAATTTCTGGTCCCATCTGTCAGCCAGAGGTGTTGAAGGCTTTTGGACTGTATGTTCACATTTGGTGAACATTTGTTGGGTGTGCATGTGTTGTTACAATGTATTTGCAAGTCACCTTGAGAGTCAAGTAATTGAAAGATGGGATATAAACCTTCAAAATAAATAAAGAACCGATTTATAATTTATCTGGACACAAACAGACAGTAGTAATATAAAGAGCCAACTCTACTAGCTGAATCACAAGCTTTCAAACTGTATATGGTACTTAAGCCAAACATCACGCGCTATAGTAAAAAGAGCAATAGAAACTATTTTGGATCTTATTTTTAAAAAAACCTCCTTTCATAACTCTTACCTGAACAATTTGTTATGGGAATGATGGAGAAAGTTACAGAGGTCCATGACTCTGAGAATACTATCAGGTAAACTACACTTTTGGTAGCTTTCTGCAACTTGATTAAGCTTGTTTGGGTTTTCATTTTGTTTGTTTGGGTCTTTGGTTACAAGGTTTACTTCAGTAGCAGCTCCCGTCAAAATATTTGCCATAATCTAATGACAACAGACCTCTGTAATCTGTAAATTCTGGGTACTGGTTTAGTCAGTAAACTCATGTGACTTTAAGAAAGAAAAAGAAAGCATAATGCTTGTAACTACATATTTTCTTGTTTCTGCTTGGAAGAAACTCAAGTAGTCTCTTTCCAAGTAGCTATGACCGATTGGTATTTTCCAAAAATTACATTGGAACTTTCAGAACGTGGTCAAAGAACTAATCTGATCAGGCAGTGGAGAAAAGGGTAAACTGCTTTGATTGATATGTGCCTCCTATTATTGACTTTCATGTTGCTACATACAGACTGCATTTAATCTCACAAGTGCAAAGTTTATGCAAGTACCCAAAGCAGTAAAAAGCTGCTAGTTCTGCCACTTTATGCATACTTTTTTTTAACATGTTTCACTTTAAGAGAGGAACAGGGAGGGACAGATATAAACCTACTTACTGTTGGGAATGTCTATTTCCTATATCTCAGAATCTTGTTATTACCACTGGGATAGACATAACAGGAAAGTTTAATTTTCTAAATGGTTTGCGTTTTTGGGGATTCCTGTGTCAGACACAAAAAGAGGTAGAATTTTTTTTTTATAAAAAAACCCTTAATATCACATTAATAATAACTCTTGCTTTTTTTATTAACAAGAATTAATGACACATCAGATTTGTATACATTTATATCACTGTAGCTATAAGAATTAATTTAGCTGTTATTGGAATGTAATTAGTTTATTTCTGAATGGCAAAAGGTTATTTACGAATATATTGTTTTATCTGAAATTAATTGTATAAAGATCAAGAAATGAAAACAACATTGTGTTATTCAAATGTTGAGTACCTGTATGTTAATATATCACACTTAAACATAGAAGGTTGTAATGACTTAAAACATTTCTCTAATGAACTTCTAAACCAACCTCAGTGTCTTTAATTCGATGCATCTGTCCAGTCTTGGATTAATGATGAGATTTAGTCCTAGGTGAATAAAATACACTGTTGCCAAATGGGTGGATATCCTGGAAACAAGATTTTAGAAACGTAGCTATCCATTTCATTATAGAAAACAAAACAGAAAAATGGCATCTTTAAAGCTAACATATCTATTTCAGTGCCAATTTTCCTGGGTTACAAATCATTTCCTCAGACACTGTGAAACATGGCTTCCTACCTAAGTTTATCTGCTCACACCCAGCGATCTAATCGGTATCCCCAGGTTCTTGGAACTACTCTCATTAGTGGAAATGATAGTTAACTTGAAGCTGTAGCTGTGTGTGTTTCCAAATAGGTCTAGTGGAGTTTTGGGGAAGCCAATTCAAGTGTGTTGGTTAATCATTACCAGCCCTGGTAGACTGAGACTTCCTTACCAGCTTTGGTTTTTATCTGGCAGGTTTCAAGTTCAGCCAGCAATCTACTCATGCCAACGCATGTGTAGGCCTAGCCAAGAATGCAGTACAAATCAAAACAATCTGCAACATGTGTCTTGTTTCATTTAGTAATAGGGGATGAGCAGCCCCACTGATGTTTCTGGACTGAAATTCTAGCTAACTCGCTATGGTGGATCTAGTGGGCCACAGGTTGTTTACCCCTACTTTTATGTATCCATGGAAAACATGCCCAATTTTAATCTGAGAACTCTTGGTAGATTAATTTTTTAAATGTTATTGTACAGCAAAACAACATTCTACAAGGTAATTCTAAAAATAGGAGTAGCCCAAACAAAAAAAATTATAACTTTAAAGTTGGACTTTGGGTCAGTACCCAGTTTGGCACAGGTGTAGCAGTCAGATTTTGCTCTGGGTCAAATTAGGCAAAACCTGAGCAAGGGGTTTTCAAGTTAATGTTTTTTTTTTAAAAAAAATAATACTGTATCCCCCATTGAGAAAAACTGTTATCCCCATTCAGAAATAGACAACCCTAAATGACCCAAGATTTAAAATAGCTTATACAAATTGAAAAGACCAGTTTTACTTATTTTGAAAGACACTGATTGACTCCACCCACTTTTTTTTTTTGGAAAGCATCCAGGCTGCCAGGGCTGAAATACTGATTCTCAAAAGAGCCCTTTTGAATGGGAAAACCGTGAGTTAAAAACTAAGCATGTGTGGTACACACTAGCCACACAGATGATAAAATGTATTATATGGGTGAGGGATGGAAGGACTAAAAAAACCCCACAGGCTTGCTTCAAATAAAGTGGTGGAGTGGCAATCTTCCAAAAAGGGAAATATTTTGCCATGTATCTCTTTGTAAGTAATAATGAGTATAAAAGGATATCATAGACGATCTTGACTGTTGTCAGTGTTCAGGCTGTCCTTTGCTATCTGAAGCTTGTCATAATTTTTTTTTTTTTGCTAGCAACGCAGGCTCAATATTGTGCAGCAATATCAGGCAATTTCCTAAAGTTTAGAATTGTGGGTCCAGAAGCACAGTATCTCATATTAATGAACCAGAGGTTTGTTTTGTTTGTTTGTTTTGAAGAATTGAATCCATTCTGTATCACGCGGTACAATTAACACAACTATAAAGTGGCAGGAATGAAGCACTGTGTCCATGTGTGATTAACCTGGGCTTAGAGAAGGCTGGCAGCAGCTTCAAATCTACTTTCCCCAGTGGTACATCAAAATCAGGAGAGGTCTCAGCATAAACACATTTGCACCCAGGGTTTGGGTTTAAGATTTCAATAACAAATCATTAAAGTGCAACACTGCGGAGGTGCAACGTAGTAACAGGAAAGGAATGCAGCAGGGTCATACCCATATAGCCATTCCAAGCTGAGCTTGACTTTTAAAGCATTTAGTGCCTTGCGAAACAATGCCTGTGTTCTTCCTTTTCTTCCCTTTCCTTTCAGCTGGGAAAAGTGCAGAACTTCCGGCCACACAAACTTAATGCTAGTACAGCAGTATTAAATCTCCCTTAGATAAGGAAATACAAGCTGCCTCACCCAATTTCTACCAGTGCTTTATTTTTATATATGACTCCTATATAAAATTAAAAAGCCCTACCTACTGGTCTCTGAACATTTAGATAATTGGCAGTACTTTCCCATAAACAAATCACATGCTTAAGATTGTAAATCACTCTTCAAACAATATGGCTTTTTTCACTGAACAAGAATATAAATGACCACACACACACACAGACACACACACAATATGCAAATAAAGTTATGTGGACCTTCCAAAGCCCAAAGGCTGAAGGTTTCCTGGCACACAGCCAATGCTCAACTACTGTGCCACTCTGAACACCCTGATCTTGCCTAGTTTTAGAAGCCAAGGATGGCTGACCCTGCTTAGTATTTGGATAGGGAACCAATTGGTAATACCAGGCTCTCCAGATAGCTAGGAGATGGCAATTCTGGGTTAAGTGGAGCAAAGATCTGTGCTTCCTATGAAAGCAAACAATTATACAGTACAGTGGTGCCTCGCAAGACAAATGCCTTGCAGGACAAAAAAAAACTCGCAAGACAAATGGCTTTGGCAAATGGGGGTTGATGACTCGTAAGACAAATGTTCCTATGTCCATGCTTCGCAAGATGAATGTTTTCCATTTTTTTTTGTTCCTGCCTCATGTTTGCTGATTTTTAAATGTTTTTCTATGATGATTAAAAAGTTAAAGCTTTTTGATTGACATTTTTAAAATCATCTGCACAATATGGCTTTAAAGAGCACTTAATAAACCCTTTGCAAACCAAATTTGACTTTGTTTTGACTTTTTTTGCCCATAGGAACACATTAATTAGATTTCAATGCATTCCTAAGGGAAAATACATTTCACAAGATGAATTTTTCGCAAGACAAATTAAATTTGTCTTGTGAGGCACCACTGTATGTGGTAAGACTAGCCCTTCCCCCCCAGTCATTCATTTTACTGGATGGCCATTTTAAGGGGAGAAGACCATACCGAGCTCTTTCCCTCACTACTTCACACAGCAGCCTAACAGCCAGGTTGCCAGCCAGACTGTTTCCTCTCTGCACTCCTCTTGAATCTGCCCTGACAATCAAGAGCCAGTAGCTGCTTATTTCTTTTATACAGAGTACCATCTGAAGCAAGAGCTGTTCAATGTTTAGGACTTCACGCAAGCAATTCTTGAAACAGCTAACCAATGCCTGGTGCTTAGAAGGGCTGTCTTTGTGCTGTTCTTATTTTATTTCAACAAGTTTTGATGAGCATCTTTGTAATTTCACTACAGCATAACTCTAATGGAAAGGCAAACAAATCCAGAAATAGTTATGAGGACATTATAAGCTAAATGTTGGGGGGAAGCATGTGAGTTGGGGGAAAACAGCTCTTGTCTTTGTTGTGGCCATATTAATGTGTAAGTTTAAAAGCAGATACTTATTTAAAGTCCTACAACTTGCTCCCATATGAGAATAAAGTGGCAATAAAATTATTTGATTAATGAGTATGTGCATATAACAAGGTAGAATACTATGAAGTCCTCAGAAATATGGTTAGCAACAGAGTAAAGAAAAATGTTTTAACTACAGCATGTTTATATGTTGAAGTCAAAGATTTGTCTTTTAAATAGCCTCATAATTTCTGCAGGTATCAAGCTTTACAGAAGTTCTTTGTCAGCCATTTCTCTTCAAACAGAAGAAAATGGCTCAGAGCATCTCTACTGAAAATAAGCTGTTGTAAGAACAGATAAGTATAAAATTACATCTGTCTCAGGGAGTTGTCCCTAGTTCTGTAGATTAAAACAGCCCAGATAGTGTGTGGTTTTCGTTTTTACAAGTTAAGAACTAAAACCAGAAAGGCTGGCAATTTGTAATTTGTCATCAAATTGTTTTTAACTTATGCCAACCCTATGAATTTGTAACTTCCAAAAGGTTTCATCCTTAACACCCCTGCTCAAATTCAAACTCTTGGCTTCCTTTACTGAGTCAAATCCATCTCATAATCTGCCTTCAACACTTCCCAGCCTTACTGGTCTTTTCCCCTCAAGTGAATTTTCTTTAATCATGATAGGCCTAAAACATGATAGCTCTGGTTAGTCAGGCTATACTGCCTATTGCCTGAAGCAAGGAAGGGAAAAAGAGAAAAAGCTAGAATTGTGCCCTGTGGAAGCTGTCATTAGCTACCACTTACCCTACACATACAGCCCGATTCCAATCTTGTTTATTCAGCTGTAAATCCAGTTGATTCCAGTAGAACTTACATTTACAAGTGTACACAAGACTGCTGGTACTCAGCCAAATCAATGCAGTCTGTAGAATATCCAGAAGATTACAGCAATCTTCTGAATAATGGTGGATTTGTACCTTAAATATGCAGGCTAAATTCCATGCAAAGGTAAACTACTGCTAAATTTGCAATCATAGCCTCTGAGGCCAGTTTGGCAAGGCTGTTCAGGTTAAATGTGGTGTAAGATTTGCAAAGCCCTTTGAGCCCCTTGTACATGTAGAGTGCACGTACATTTGTAACTAGACGCTACAGATAAATCAAAGCTTACTGAATCGAAAGGGACCTTATTCTATCTGCATAGGACAGGGAAATGTGTTTATATATATAAACACATATAAACATGCCCAGTGTCGGGCTACATTGCATCTAAGAGTGACTGCGTTACACTTGTTTTCTTTCTCTGGTCATTTCCAAGAACAGGGCTGAGGGAAGAAGTTACCGTAGTTACGCAGTTACGAAGTGTAAGTCAATATATCCCCCATTTGCGCCAACAAATGAAAAGCCCAACAGGTAGAAGCAACAAGCAAAAAGGACGAAAAAGAAAGAAAGGAAACGGGGAAAAATATCCTTCCATATTTCTCAGAGGAAATGCAAACCAAAAAGGGACAGTATACACTTCCTCGCGCCAGAAACAGCAGCTGAGCCGCTCCCTCCCTCCCTCCCCTCGCTTCTACTGACCCACTTTGCACCATACAGTAGTGGGAAACGACGCAACGGCCTTGCACTGCTGCCCGTCGCGAAGGGGGAACTCCTTCTCCCTCCCTCCCTCCCTCCCTCCTGCGCGCTCGCGCGGCTGACGGAGCAACCCACATTCGCTTGTTCGGGTTTTTACGTTCTTCAAGCCACCTCATCCTTCGGACCGCGGAGGGTTACTGCTGGGTGTGTGGGCCGTCCTCGCGAGGAAGGGGGAGTGCCAGGAACGTCTTTCTTGCTCCCCCTCCCTCCTTGTCTCCCCTACTCCACCAACCGAGCTGCAGTGGCTGCAGAAGGCGGGTCGGTGGCGTTCGGGAAGGGGTGGATTCTTTTTTTTTCTCTCTCTCTCTCTTTTTCCTTCTCGTGCGTGTGCGCGCGCGCTGGGTCTTGGCTGGCTCTTCGTCCGTTCCGGTCGCCTCTTTCCCGCCTTTCTCCTCTGCTGGGAGCGCGACAGACAAGGAGGCTCGCGCGTCGGCCGGTCAAGCCGAGTCACGGGCAGAAGCCGAGGCGTTGCGGACGGCGCTCTTCGTCTTCTACCTCAGCTGTCGCCCGGCCCCCTTTTTTTTTACTCTTTCCTGGGTCCCTTGTTTCTTTCTCTTTCCCCTCCTCTTCCTCAATAACCTGCCACGGCGTTCCCGGCACCCCTGAAGCGGAAGCCTCCTTTCCTCCTCTCCAGCCTGGACCTTCTCAATATGAGCGCTCTTATCTCGGTTGAGAGACACCAGGTAACCGGGGGAAGGCCCTTCCAGTCCGTGGCGTGTTTGTTGGGAGGGCTGCGATCCGCGGCTGCTCGGGGAGGAAGAGGAGGAGGCGCCCCCGGGAGTTGCCTTTTGAGGCAAAACGTGCCTCCTGGGAGCCTCCTCTGAAAGCTACTGCTCGTCTCGGGGGCTTTACTTCTAAAAGTGAGCGATCCCTGACGGGGTTTGGTCATGGAGGGAAAACCACCACCACCAACAACAACAAAAAAGATAGAGAAAGACTAAAGTGCGTTTGTTCTTGAGGGAAAGTGAGTAGGGAATACTGGCGTCCTTGTATTGGAGGTTTGTGGATTACCCGAGGGACTTCTTTGAGGAGGAGAAGAAACGCGCCATAGGAACGGCTAGATAGGTTTTGTGTAAAAACATAAATAAAGGGCGCCCTTTGACTATTGGAAATTCGCCGCAGAGACGGGCAGTATAATATCCGAAGAAAAGAAGGGTCAAATTTGAGGGAAGGGATTGGTGGCTCCTTTTTTAAAAGAACAGGATTGGCGTCATGTTCCGTTTGAGAACCGAGGTGTCGTCATTCTTTTATGCCTACTTCGGCTTTTCCGGCCCTGGTGGTCTTCTTTATTAAAATGCTCTTGGTTTTTTGCATATATTTTTTTTGGAGGTGCAATATTCTTCTGACAATCAAACGAAAAATAACCCGGTCCGATCAGGCTTTGAACCGTCACGGGGGCCGTTGCGGTGGTGGGCGTTACACCCTGTGGGCCGAGGCCGGGTGGTGGCAATATTTGTGGTGTCGTACATTCTCTGGCGAAAGAGAAGTACTGTATATTTCTTTGTTATGGGCTTGCTGCAAGACTAATGGCAGAACAAGTGAACTTCACCAGCCCCGTGAGATTAAATTGAGAATTGCTAAAACATTCGCTAGCGGGGTTTTGACAGCTTGAAGGACTTTCTCGTCCTAAGATATCTATCAGTAAATCGGAACCCTTTGACAAGGCAATAGTACAGTGTTTTTCTGAAACTGAAGTAGAGGATCCTGTGACCTATTCTCAGCAGTTTGAAAGGCTTGCAGTGCCACTGCCTCATAGTGTCTCTTATGTTCCTTGTTATGGTGAGTTCTAGAAGGATGGCTTTCTAAACCTTATGGGAAACCAGCCTTTATGTTTTTGTCCTATCAGGACACTCCCTGGTTCAAAAGGGAAAAAAGAAGATCTGCAATTATCTTAGAATTCAGATGTCGTGAAACATAGTTGTGGAATATGGATTGTTTATTTTCTGAGGGTTGAGTAGGTTTTTCTTCTGCTTTGCCTTTGTTCTTTCTCCTCCTTGCTAAATAATGTTGCCATGCTCATGGGATGGAAACGTGTCTGCTCCAGTATGCTTGCTGTAGCTAGAGGTATGATTGGGTGGAGGAGAAAGTGCACTAGCCAATCCAGAGGCAGTTATGACATGAGACAGATCATGTGGAGTGGAAGAAAGAGTGTGTGTGTGTGTGTGTGTGTGTGTGTGGGGGGGGGGGGTAGAAAGAATCCAGGGAGGAAAGGGCACAGACTGTATTACAGGACTTTCACCTGTCTAATTCTTTTGCTTCCTTCAGGAAGAGAAAAACTCATTTATATTATTATTTAAATAAGTAGTTGGAACTTTGTCTTTGTAATCCTTATGTTTCCCTATCTGCACACAGCCTGGCAGACATCAGCCAGACATCAAAGAAAACAAGGTTGTTTTAGTTCTGCCTTCTATTTAGTTAATTATGTGGGTGACCTTGAATGTATTTGTGAAAACCACAGTGATACAGTAACAGCTTAAAATTTTCTCAGAACATTTTCTTCATCTGATGATTGACTATCAAATGTGCTGACAGTATTTATCTTTTATATTTTTAGAGAAGGGTTTGGCTTTGGAGGTGAGTGGGGATGGGCATATATTCTGCCATTACAAGGGTAGAACGCCATACTTTGGAAACAATATAATTATTTAAAAACAAATAAATAAGGAAAGTACATACAGTATTACACTTAAGTATGTATAACAGTGGCTTTGTTACAGCATGATTATAAACTGTGAAGGGAGGTAAAAAAAGGGACTTTAATTCTATATAAATCAACCATTTTTGAACCCAACCTTTTACACCTTTTGTTCCCCATCCACGTTTGGTGCATTGTGTGTGGTTAATAAAACATCTAGAGCCCCTTTTTAGGGGATCAGTGGGAAACATTAAGTGTCCACCCATTTGTCTTTCCTCTGCTTAAAGTTGCAACTTTGATACCTACTGGAAATTTGAAGTATTAATTTTACACATAGTGTGTACTTTGCTCTTAAGGATAGTGAGGTTATCAATTTCTAGTGTTAGGATGTAGAAAAGTTTTCTGAGGCTGAAAATATATATTGTGAGTTCTTGACTCTTTTCGGGTTTTTTGCCCCTTTAAAGTAGCCATGAGAATCTTCTGGGTTGATATGGAAGCATACTCTACCACCATTTCATAGACTTATCTGTGCTTCTTTTCATCATCAAAGAAAATAGACTTTTTACTTCTCCCTTCCAGCAGCTTGTAGAGGTGGGTTAAATTGGGCAGGAATATGCCCCACACTGCTGCTTTGGTCAAAATCTACTTCACAGCAAAACAACATTGGGACACTTTATCATGATCCCTTCCCTGACATATAGTTTGAGCCTGGTAACTTGTGAATTCATGATGTCTGAATTTTATTTCACATACAGTGTCAGTCGGATGAGCCGAGTACCATGACGAATGTAATTTATGTAATTATTAAGAAGGGTTTGGGGTTAATTGAATTTGGTCCTTGCTGTGAATTATTTGTAGCTGTCTTTTTTGCCTCTCTGGATGATGGTATGTCAGTTGACCTACCTTTTCCATTGTACATAGAGTGTAGAACCCTGATCAGGTTGTCTTCTTTAAAAGAGATAAACTTTCTTGCTCTGAAGTTGCAGCAGAACAGACTTAAAAGGTGGGATAACGTAAGCTACTAAAATTCCTCATGTTTAGTTCTTTGGTTTCCTTCAGGACAAGAAATCAGTTTTGCCTTTACTTGGATGGATGGCTTTTAGGCAGGGAAGTTGATCTAGTTCTCTTCCTCTTGCAGTGAAATAAATGAATTTGAGTAAATTTCTTCCTCAAGAGTTGTCCCCAGATTTTAGAAGTAGTTGGAAGGAAATTAATTTAAAAGTAGCTAAAAACAACTTAAAAGATAGCCAGAATAACAGTGCAAGTTAAAAAGACAAGAAATATTTTACTAGCTGAGGATTCTCCCAGCAGTGAGCTTCTAGGCAGTAATTTGTGCCTTTTGTGTGAAGTTAAGGGAAGGTCAGTATTTTTCATTTGTGTGGAGTTTATTTGTTTTTTGTTTTGTTTTGAGGTTTGCCTTTAAAAGCCAAGTTAAAATAATCTGTAAAATTTTATGTAGTACAGAACATCTTAATTACAACAGTATTCAAATTTTTGATAGTACTGTATTGTGGAGAATTATATAGAAAAACACCAACTGATTATTGATACATAGTGATGTGTTAAAAATACATGACTTAAAACAAGTGAAAGCAAAATGTTACTGTATTTCACATACGATGGGAAACATCTGGCCATCCAGATGTGAGTAGATTTCTGTACTCATCAGTACTAGTAGGATAGTTCCTGTTGAAAGGTGTAGTTCAACAGAATCTGAAGAACTGCACATTCCTCCTTTAGAGCAGTGGTTCCTAACCTTAGATCCCAAGGTGTTCTTGGAGTTAAATCCTTGGATACCCTTACCACTAACTGTGCTGGCCAGGATTTTTGAGAGTAGTTGTTCAAGAACAAGGTTGGGAACCACTTCTTTAGAGAATATTAGTGTAATGAAAAACAGAACAACAAAACATTATGTTCTACTACTTACTGATTGAAGTAACCAGAGGATTTCTCACCTTAATCCAGGAAGTTTGGGAGAAAGGTGGACAAAGTCCAGAAGTGGCAATGTCTCTTTTCCACTTCAGGACCATCTAGCTATATTTTCCAGCAAATGAAAAATTTGCTGGAAAAATCAAATAGGATGTGTTTGAACATCTAGTTCTTTAGAAGGGCCATTTGGGCATAGCAGGTGGGGCAGTGCAAAATCACTTCTCTTGGGAGCTTCTAGGAGTGGGAAAGGAGCTTTGAAGTAGGAAGCTTTGGAAAGATTCATGGAGGCAGAAATGTTTCTGGGTCCACATGCAGCCTGTGACTTATATTGGCCACCACTGGAATGAACTGCTAGTAGTGAAGGCTCAGTATACTGTGTGAGGCCATTGAGACTCTCGGTGGCTGCTTGCTGGACATTTTTGTGCTTTGTCCACCAAGCATGATTGATTTGTTTTAAAACCTAATTTAAATTTTAAAAGTGCACTGTTTTTGATGATTTAAATTTAAAAAAATATTTCTTTTATTTCAATTGTGATTTAAATCAAATTGATTTTAAAAAATAATTGATTTTTATCCATCCTGCAAGAGGTATGATGTTTCAGTTGCTTTGCTGTAAATTGTAGCTAGATGTGGTCAAGGCAGTTTTTATTCCTATAACAAACTAGAAACGATGTTGGAAATAATTACACTTGGTCCATCTTGCTGGTAACCCCCTTTAGGTTTCATTAATGTTTTTCTGTGTAGTTTGCTAATTCCTACAGACATTTTTGTTGTTTTTTCATCTTCCTTAATCCTGAAAATCTTTGACTCTGTATTTCAGTTAAACGCAACACTTCAGCTTTATTGCATGTGTAAAATTTACATATACTATACTACAGTAGTATTTTTTCACCAGAAGTGTTCCAATCTAATATACTTGTTACTTTGTGTTTGTTTTACTAGTTTCATGGTGTAACAGGAATCAGTTTTTTAAAAGATCATGACATTATTGCAGAACCTTTGCCAAAAATTTTAGGAAATTGAGGCAAAGCAATTTTTTCATCAGTGCTTTTGATTTAATTGAAGAGAAGGTTCTGAGATGTTGAATTGCAGTAAACTTGTTTGCAATTTTTAGTTCCTTTAAAGCAGTGGGCCCCAACCTTGGTCCTCCAGATGTTCTTGGACTTCTGCTCCAAAAAATCCTGGCTAGCAGAGATGGTGGTGAAGGCTTTGGGGAATTTTAGTCCAAGAACATCTGGAGGGCCAAGGTTGGGGCTCACTGCTTTAAAGGACAAATATTATTTTTGCTATTTCATAATAATATTGTAACTAGTGTATATCTACAGCTACAAATGTTAAGTCTGCCCAAGAGATTTGAGCCATTTATTTAGAAACTTCTCTTATGAATGTGGTTCAGTGGCATTAAGTAATGCTGTTCAGTTTGGCTTATGTTCAAGTTTGTTGGGTCAGCTGTAGCAACATAAACTGTAACTGAAGTGTTGTAGGGTGTAATTAAAGGTTTGGAATGCAGATCTAAACAAGACATATCTTTGATGGAGTTTGCGGTGTGTGAGTTGTTTATGTATATGTAAAATTGTCTGTTGAGTTCCATAATTGAACATGAATTGGTATTTGTATCTATTAAAAACATTTAATTATAGAAGTAAAACACTAGTGAGAATTTTCATATTTTTTCTATTGCATAACATTTTTTGTTAGGAGTGAAATAAGGTCTAAATGAATTCTGCATTCACATTTAAGATAGAGGGAGGTTCCAAATGGATTGGAAATAAGCACAAAGGCCAGATTTATTCATTTAATATTTGTTTTCTATTACAGAGTATGATGCAGGACTACCACAGAAGAAATTCATGTCTATAGCTTTTAAGGACTTGATTACATCAGTTTAAAGCCTGGTAGTTTTGGAGTCACCTGTTCAGAAAACACAGTTGTCTGGATTTCACAATCTGTTCACCTGCAAAGAAATATAAATTGACGTGCTCTATATTAACACACAGCTAGACTTCAGAATATTTAAGATCTGCTTATAAAATCACAGCATTGATTCATTTGGTAAGCTGCTACTGAATTATAGGGGTATGTTATACAATTTTGTGTGATGTGGGTTATAAACATAAAAATCATTAAATTCTGCAGTACTTACCATAGGTAAGTAGTTATTTCCCCACATGGATGTTATAAAGCCAGTCTATTTTGAAGGAAGGGAGGGAGGGAGGAATTGCAAGTTCTTTATATTGGCAGATAAGCAACTTTTTAAAGAGTCTAGATCATAGTGAACAAGTATATTATCACACAGTGTAAGCTGTTTAGTTAGAAAACAAATTCCAATTCTTGTTACAAAACAGGAAATCTAAAAGCCTGAATCTGTACATTAATGAGAGGGCAATTCTCCACCTCCTGCTCTTTCCTGCTAAGGCAAATACTCTCCTGTTCTTGCTTATTCTGGCCTTGAAAGCAAGGAAGATGCAGAACAGCACTGTTGGACAAACATAGTTCTAGGTGTTTTGCTCTTCCTTCTAAATGCTGAAGAGCATATGAAAACTAAGAAAGGTTAATAGAGGGCCCCATGCACTGCTTTTTCAGTCATGGCCATTTCTTAAGCATAAGGCAGCAAATATTTTTTAAAGCTCGATGGTATAACTGGAGGCATATTTGTTCTCACAATATAATACCATGACAGTCAGAATTCTGTCCCTTAGTACCATATTTTTCACTCCATAAGATGTACTTCTCTCCCCCTCCCCCAGAAAAAGTGTGTGCATCTTATGGAGCAAATACTGTAAAAATGGTGCAATTTGTGGACATTAACAGACCCCCCCAGAGCCCATGCCGCTGTCATACGCGGCTGGGTTCTGTATTCCTCCCCCGCACCGCCAATCTTTTTTTACCCTCTCGACCCCAACCCAAGCCCCAACAGCACGCCTCGGGAATCTTCTTTGGCTTCTGACTGCCGGCAACAAAAGCTCGACTCCACAGTGAAAGAGGTGAGCTCTGCCTCCCGTCTTCCACGCCGTCACCTCCGGCTTCCCACTCTCATGCCTACCGCCGATATTAGTTCGTTCAGCACCAGCCTGAGCCCCCATTGCCACCATGCCGCCCTTCTCTTCCTCTTCCAGGGCAGGAACTAGGAGCACTTCCAGACCACGAGCGGTCAACTGACGAGTCCCATAGAGATGATGAGCTGGCTGGGGCGGTAAGGGAGCTGGTGGCTCCCTACCCAATGCCTTAGCAGTTGTAGGCGCGTGCGCGAAGACAGAGTGTACCATTCTCTGAAAGGGGGCGGAGTTTTACTTCCGGCGCTCTTTGCAGGAACTATTCCTTGTACTGTACTTGTTCAGAATATTTCTTTTCCTCCTCTAAAAATTAGGTGAGTCTTATGGTCAGGTGTGTCTTATGGAGCAAAAAATACAGTACTTGAGATTTATCATTGTTTAAGGATAGTATGTTGTTTTCGTGCGGGAAGTATCTCATTAAGCCTGACTTAAATTGAGGGTGTTGTTAGGCCTGGTCCACGTTCAGCATTCATTCCACAGAAAGACAGCAGGATAGAGTTCATCTATTTCTGGTTATGTGTACATATGTGTAGTATATGCATACAGTGCATGTATATACCTCAGTAAGAGTTTAATATGGATATCGGAGACTTGTATAAGCCTGTTGATACAATAGCTTGGTGGGGGGGGAGAGATCAGTAGTAGTCCTTTTGCCTTCATTGGTGCCATGCTTAGTGAAAGCATGCCTGAGGTTCTCACACTAAACTGTGGATTCTGTGAGAAATGAATACAGTGATTATTATGATTTATATTGTGTTTTGCTGAGCTAAAATTCTGTTATTGGGGCTTGTTTGTTTTTTGGTCTTATCACGGTCTAGATTTGAATATTTTATTGAATAAATTCCATATTCTTTTTTATTTTTACTGTGGAATCCTGTACGGTTTAATTCAAAACTAAATCCCATTATTTTCATTGTAGTTTCTTTCCAGATGGCATGTAGGATTATAGTCTTTATAAGATTCAGTATAAAAGAAATACAGTTACATTAGATTATATTAAAGACTTTTCTTGTTTGTAGCCACAGAAGCAACAAAATGATTCCTAACGGCTATTTGATGTTTGAAGATGAAAATTTCATTGAATCATCAGTTGCCAAGCTAAATGCTTTGCGCAAAAGTGGCCAGTTTTGCGACGTTAGACTCCAGGTAACTTAACAGTCAGTCAGCTGGGAAGTATGGTTTTTAGCACAGCAGAGCTGAGGCTCTATAATGTTTGAAATCCTTTAAAATACAGGCAGTTTAATTGTTGGTTATTTTAACCTTCAAACAATGACCTTAAAATTCATTTTTGATGGTTCCTCACACAAGTTCAGTCATTTTGCATGACTACTGGGAGGAATTCTTTTGAAGCCTTAGATAACATCGATATGTGTTAGAGATGTGCTTAACTCTGATACTCAGAGGAATGATCTTAAAATGTTTAGATTTGGCAGGGTTGTAAATTAAAGAGATTAGTCTCTTTTTCTTTTATAGTTCATTTTATTTATTGTAATACCATTTATAATATAGGTTTTGTGTTCACATTTTAAAGACAGATATTTGCTCTTATTTTTATAAAGGTCTGTGGACATGAGATGTTGGCACATAGAGCAGTGCTAGCTTGCTGCAGTCCTTATCTGTTTGAAATCTTTAACAATGACAGTGATTCCCATGGAGTTTCCCATGTAAAGTTTGATGATCTTAATCCGGAAGCTGTTGAAGTTTTGTTAAATTATGCCTACACTGCTCAGTAAGTGGATTTTAATGTACATACAATAGATAGTTTATCTTAAATGCTCTGTCCAGAATATATTCTCAATATAACTCTATAATTCTCATAGACTGAAGGCTGATAAAGAACTGGTCAGAGATGTATACTCTGCAGCAAAGAAGCTAAAGATGGAAAGAGTGAAGCAGGTATAATTTTTGTATATTAGAAAGTAAGGGGTGGTGGTTAGCTTGACCCCTTTATAGATTTAGAAAGAACTGTGTTGTAATGTGAACAGGCACTTGACTAGGAATGTTGATAGTGTTTTGAGTAACCAAAACACCTTTCATTTTTATTTCCATGTAATGATCTGTAGTTATTATAATCAATAGGTTTGAATTAGCTGTTGGCCCATTGTTATATGGTATAAATTTTACTTGGTTAAGTGATTATACCAGTGCACTAATATGAATAAATGTAATGTGGGAATGACGTAGGTATCAGTAAAGATGATTGCAGTTTTAAAACTGACAGATATATTACATTCAGCCATCTTATTAGCAAAAGTGTAAGAGTTAGAGTCTTGGGTTTTTTTATTTCATCCACTGAAGGGTCACAGTATAGAGTTGTAGGAATGGAAGATTTACAGGTATTTGTAAAATTTACTTGAAAGAATGCTCACCTTCTGAACAAAATCTAAATTGTTCAGAGCTCCTTGTATATTTAGAAATGTTTTCAATTACAAAGGAATAGTTGAGTTTCTTTGTTTAGTCTTAAAATGATAACAGCCTAAAAGAAAAAAGGCAACACTTCTCCATCACTTTGGTGATTTTATAATATTTTCAGTGTTAAGCAGTAGCTGTAAAAATATTTTGGTGTTCTGTGAGAAACTTCTCACAGAAGTTTGAACAACTAGCACTAATTCTAAATCGGTCAAAAATGTTCTACTGGGGGAAAAAGTGGGCTATATGTGTAAAAAGTTAACGTTACTGGGATATCTTGGCAAATTGCCCTTAAAATGACAGTAATGAAGTGTTCTTGCAGAGTGCCCAGAGTAAAATAACATAATTCTATGTCTTTTTAAAGGTTTGTGGAGATTATTTGCTCTCCAAAATGAATGTTGAAAGCTGCATTTCCTATCGAAACTTTGCAAGCAGCATGGGTGACACACGTTTACTGAATAAGATTGATAGTTACATTCAGGAGCATTTGTTGGAGATTTCTGACCAGGAGGAATTTCTCAAGTTGCCACGTTTAAAGGTGAGGAATCCTTCTATTTTTAATTATGAAATGAAAATGGAAGATTTTATTGATATTGTAAATCCACCAAGAAATATTCACCCTCAGCTTATACGTTAAACAGTATTGATGCAAATCCACTTAAATAAGTATCTTTCGACAGACAGTTAAGCATTATTTATTTATTTATTTATTTATTGCATTTATATCCCGCCTATCTAGTCAACAACCACTCTAGGCAGCTTCCAACACATAAAACAACAATCTAACAAAATTACAATATAACAAAGTTTATAAACATCAGTATAAACGAATTATCCAAAAGGAAAAAGGAAAAAAAGAAAAACAACAAAAAAATCAGGTATTAACTGGAGGGAAGGCCTGTGTAAACATCCATGTTTTCAGTTGTTTTTTTAAAATGCCCAGCAAAGGGGCTGCACGAATCTCCGGAGGGAGGTTATTCCAGAGGTGAGGCGCCACCGCCGAGAAGGCCCAGTTTCTATTTTTTTTCCCTTCCGGGCCTCCCTTGGCATCAGGCTCCTCAGCCTCACCTCCTGACTCAATCGGTTGATACAGGTAGATTTTGGTGTGATTAGGCATTCCGCCAAGTATCGAGGCCCTAAACCGTTTAGGGCTTTATACATAAGCATTAATACTTTGAAGTCAATGCGGAATCAAATGGGCAGCCAATGCAAAGCGGCCAGAGAGGGAGAGATATGCTGATATTTTCTCATTCCACCAAGAAGTCTGGCCGCCGCATTCTGCACCACTTGAAGTTTCCACATCATTTGATTGATTCCACATCATTACAGCATTTTCAAGTAAAGAAACTTCCTTTATTGAGATGTTCTGCTTTCCATTAAAACAGTATTATCTAAACATATGTCATTGGGATCAAAATGAAGTCTTACGTACAGTACCAGCATTTCTCTGAATAGTGTGTTAGATCTAAGTGATCTTTTTAATTTTTGAAATATGAAAAGAATTGTGCTGTTAAGATATAATTATGAGTTGCAGAAAGTACAATAGAGTAATAATCATGAGTTGTAAGTTGCCATTAACAACACTGTAATTTGTAAAACATTGAAGTATATATGTGATTGCCTTATTTCATAACTGCATGACACAGAGGACGATTTTCTTTCAATGTGTCAACTGCAGGGATGAGTCCTGCTTTTTTTCTTGACATCAGCAGTAGCAGATCTTTCCAGCAGCTCTTCCTCCAAATGTCCAAGGCAAACTGACTATAACCCAGGTTGAACCAAGTCTGGATACAGGTCTTCTAAGGAAAGGCATCTTTTGGGGTGCTAATAGCATTATTGCTTCTAAACAGTTTAGGTATTTAAACAGATAATATCCTATATATATGCCAAAAAGAGAAAAGATTTGGCCACCTTTGCCCTTTTCTATTTACTGTAATTTCCTCAAAGAATCTTCTGCTGTGGAACACCATACAAATTTAATAAATGCCTTTGGACAGAGGCGCAGAAGTCATTAGATACAAGTTGTCTGTATCATCTTTATAACGATGTATTATATCAAACTTTAATTTGTTTGAGATTGGTACAACTTTATATATTGAAGGATGAGGAATAAAATTTGAGTGCATGTGTCATGTATTAAGTCTCCAAAAAAAAAAAAACCTGCCTTTCACACACCTTTCTGTAAGGAAACCTGGGGGAATTTCTAATTTGTTTTTGTTTTTGCTAACAAGGGTCAGGCTTTTCTTAGCTGATTACTAGCACATGTGCTATTTGTTGCTATAGTTCATCTAGAAACCTGTAAATGTGTTTATCAGTTGCAGTTTTGTTCAGATTTCAAGGTGGTGGGGTAAGCTTTTGTATTCAGACTTCCTAGCCTCCTTCACACAGCCCCATTTAGATTTTGTTTCTAGCTCAGGGTGTCAGCAAACATGGATATTTCATATTCTGTTTGTATCAGTACTATTGTTGCTTGACTGGTAGAATTATATTCAATTAGTCTTAATAACTATTTCGAGGGACACATGCGTGCACGCACACACATATGTATATAAACTATGATGCCTTTTGTTGTTCATTCCAGCTCGAGGTTGTGCTTGAAGAAAATGTTAGCTTGCCCAGTAATGGCAAACTATACACAAAGGTAATCAACTGGGTACAGCGCAGCATCTGGGAGAATGGAGACAGTCTAGAAGACTTAATGGAAGAGGTTAGTCTTACGAAAATGAGCTCTGGCAGTCTGCAGTAATTGTTTTTCTGAAATTAAGGATGATTCCTTTTCCTTTTTTTTCTTTAAAAATTGCAAAGAATTTAAATTTTGCTGTAGGTATCCCTAGGCTGAGAAACTAGGGGGGTTCCAGGTGAGCTGAATAAACTGTTCATTTTGGTCTTCTGTTTCAGTTTCCTTTTTTCCTTGTTATCTCGTTATAACTTCAAACATAGCATGTAACTTCACTTTAAAAATGGGGAGGTGGTTTAAAAGCTCACTCTGTGTTCTTAATGTGTTCCTTTTACAGGGCTTTGCTTAAATAGAGAAGTAGGTAAAAGGTTCTAATGGTTGTTCCTCCCCATTGATTTATCTCCCCATAGGTTTATTAACAAAACTAGGATATCCAACGCTGAAGAACCATAGAAGAAACTTCAAGTGTAATGACACGTAAAGAAGCAGCAGTCCTGCCCCAGTTCTCCTAAGAAAATCCGCTGTGGGCAGAGAACGATGATGTTTAATGGTGTTTACTTCTTTACAGGATATCTTAACTTTTGAAAGTTTTGTATAATTAAATAGCATAAACACAGTTTCTGTAGTCAGCATGGTCTAAATCTGAAATGCCAGCATCTTGACAATTGCAGTGGCAATAAGCTTTTCCCATACAATTTCAGTTGTTTAGTTTGCCATCATGGGCAAGGTCATTTTTGAGAACAGTTGTGTTTGCGGTTTTACTTGCCCTTCTGTACATTTCTTAAAGATCTATTCAACATTAGTGCTATCAAGAGTGAAGCCATTGAAATGAAGTCACAACTAACAAGCCCCATTGATTCATAGATTTACTCTTGGTTTATGCTAATGTTGAATTTAGCTCTTAGAATCCTCACATTTTCCTTGCAGTCTTTCATGATACCCAGTAATGAGCAGCAATCTTTCCTGAGTGTGAAAGTTGCTTGAACTCTTTAATAGTTTTAAGAAGTGTATCTTTAATACGACCTTTGAAATAATCCACTTGTTCTTGGTTTACATGTTTAATGTACATATTTTTATTGGCTAAGGAAGAACAGTTTATTTTGTAAATAAGGTCCTTGTTTGTAGGAAATAGTGGAGTTTTGGATGAGATTGTTAATGTTCATCTTATTCTGCAAGGCAATGTACATCATACTTGTCACACATCTTAATGTTACAGCACAGTGAGAATAGAAGTCCAGGAAACTGAAGATTCATGTTGAGCTCTGAACCCAAGGGATCCTTCAACCAGTTTTTGAAGATCTGACATCATGAAAGCAACCTACTTTTTTTTTAATTTTTCAATTCTGCTAGATGGAGAGAAGAGGAACTGAACACTGCTGGAGACATTGTGGAGTTTATGTGCAGTTTACCAGTAGCTCAGTAGCAATTGAGACTGTAGCCACATGGCTGTTCTGTTGTTTTTGCAGGTTCAAACGCTGTACTACTCAGCTGATCACAAGCTGCTTGATGGAAACCTACTAGATGGACAGGCTGAGGTGTATGGCAGTGATGATGACCACATTCAGTTTGTGCAGGTACAAATTGCACATGGTCTGAGGTAACCTCAGGTAAAATTAGTTAGAGTAGTATGGCACAACTAAAATGTTGTGTGGTCCAGTGAAAGAAAGGAACAGTTAATTGCCTTACAAGATGGGGAAATAGTTATCTTAGATGCTTGTGTGGTCTTGGTTATCTCTCTTTTTTTTTAAAGCTGAGATAATAACATAAATGTGTGCTAATTGCATGGCATAGTAAGCCCAGCACTAGATGGTTTAGGTAAACTTGTGTAGTATTGAGACGTTCATGTGCAAGCATGCATACATATGCTCACTAAAGAAGTCTGGGAAAGAATAACATCCTCAAGAACTTGTGTACAACACTTTTAAGGAAACAGGCTAATAAAGAGGATTTGAGAAGTTTCATCAGAGTCTAGATTTTAAATAGAAATTTCTTAAATATGTGAGCATTAGTATCATGAGGAAGTAGCACTAGCAATTACCTTTGGAAACTTGGTGAATGGTACAAATTGAACAAAGTAAAGCAGCTGTCTCTGCAGCAGTAGCTTACCTGTTCATGTGAGGAATCAGTGGAAGAGTTGTCCTTCTAAGTGCATTGCTGAATTCATAAGCCTGTTTGTTTCTAGATTTAGCAATTGCCAGTGGCAATGTGACTGAATGGACTAGGTCCAAAACTAGGATCAGACTGAGTTCAGTTCATATTGGTGATGTTAGCCGATTTGCAGAACTGCAGAGATTCAGTATTATATGTGTAATTGGAAGTAACTTCATTATATTCAGCTTAGTCTACTCTTTTGTTAGTGCATTTATTTATGTATTTTATTTATATATTACCCGACTTAGTGGCAATCCACTAGTCTGGGCAGTGAACAAATAGTTTTTTTTCTGAAACTACAAATGAGTAAACAGCAATATAACATTAGCAAACATAGTATAAGAGACAAAAAGGAATCACCTAGCAACATTCAGAAAAATAGGTCTGGAATTATTCCTTCAAGGGTAGAATGTTACTGAAGGTTTCTTTATAAAACTCTGCCTTAGCAAGTTTTCTAAAAATACCGAGGGAGAGGCATTCTACAATGAGGGGGCCACTACTAAGAAGGCCCAATTTCTGATTGTTTTTTCTTATCTCTCTCAGGGTGACCATTTTAAGAAGGAAGGCCTGGGAGGAGTGGGTGAACATGGTAGTTACTCTTTGGGAGAGACACCCTGATAGGTACAAGGTCCCAAACTGTTTAGAGGCCTTGCATCAAAACCAAAACCTTGAATTTGGCATGGAAATTAACAGACCCAGTGCAAGTGGATCAAGATCTGAGAGAGATGATCAAATTTACCTGGCCCCAACATCAGCCTAGCTGCCCCATTTTGGACCTGCTGAAGTTTCTGTACCATCTGCAGAATGCTCCCATTTGGGAGCATTTCAGTAATCAATTTTTGAGATTACCAGCACAAGAAACAATGTTGTCAGGGATTTCTTGTCCAAATAAGGATGGAACTGAGCGGTCCATCGGAATTCATTGTTTCATTTCATCCAGTCCATAAGAGGATAGCGTTGTAGCCTTGTGGAATCCAATATATATCTTTGAAGATATATCAGACTTTTTTCTGTACAGGTGGTACTGAAGTCATAGTGCAGATTAATCTAGAGGACAGGCAAGATTTTTCACAGTTCATTTGTATGGCATGTATTATCATGCAATATAGTGTTGAAGAAGCTTTCAACAAGCTAGTTATGACTAGGGATGAGAAATATATTTTTAAGGTAGTTTAAATAACATAGCAGCAGCTCCAAATATGACAGCCCATATCAACCACCTGCCTTGCTTTTCCCCCACTGAGCCCTATAATAGAAGGAGCGGGGGAATGGAAGTTGAGATTGTTAAAATAAGAATGATCTAGCAAAGGTGAAATAGGAGTGTAGGGTAGAAGGAAAAAAGAAAAATGAGGCAATGGAGAGGCAGTAGGGAAGTGTATTTCAACTACAATGCCTCCAAATCATTTGCAGTGTTCAACCTGTTGCACAAATCTGTATTTACAACACATGATGTGTTTTACTTGTATAACTGATAAATCGCTTGATATTGAAAGTTTTGAGGTGCTGTACAGTACCGTGGTGCCTCGCATTACAATGTTAATTCGTTCCAGCGAAATCACTGTAGAACGAAAACATTGTAAAGCGGAATTTAAAAGCCCATAGAAACGCATTAAAACCCGATTAATGCGCTCCTATGGGCTTGAAACTCACCGTCCAGCGAAGATCCTCCATAGCGCGGCCATTTTCGCTGCCCATGCAGCGAGGAATCCATCCCAGAAAAGAGCGGGGGCCTTTTTTTTTTACCCAGCAGCCATTTTGAAACCGCCGATCAGCTGTAGGAAAATCTTCGTTTTGCAAGAATCAGTTCCCGAAGCAGGGAACTGATCATTGCAAAGCGAAATTCCCACATAGGAAACATTGCTTTGCGATTGCTTTTGCAATCGCAAAAACTTCATCGTAATGCAATTTCGTCGTAAAACGGAGCACTTGTCTTGCGAGGCACCACTATACATTAAAGAACCAAATTAAAAGTTATTGTAGAACAGATGCCCTATTACTGACTAGAGTTTATCAGTCATGAAGTATCTATCTGAAGAGGCTTCAGCATGATCTGAAAACCTCAGAGTGCATGCCTAGTCTTGATGTAATGGCATTCTGCAGGATAAAAGCCAGTACAAAGAAGGCCCAATCCTGTTGGTGTCCCTCAAGTGTTGAAGACAGGGCTTTCACTTCTGGAAATATGAAACTACTAAAAGAACTGGAACCAATTGAAGTTAACTATATCATGTATTAAATACGCAGTTTGACAATCAATGGTAGCTGGAATTCATAGAATAAATCTGAAGTTTTGATGTGAATATAATCAGCCAAGATGCTGTTCATGTGAAATTCATGTAGTAAGGATGCCCCATTATCTATAGTTTGTTTACACAGCAGTATTTTGAAATGACATGAGGATTCTTATCCATAGGAGACAATATGTTATATGAAGCTCAGTTAGTTTAGGAAAAAAAAATCAGAAGCAAAGGACAGTGAGTCAAGTGTTGAAATGGGGTAATGGAGAAATAGCTATTTAAACTTCCATTATGCAATTGACTGCTGATTCATCAATTTGCCTGTGTAGATGAATTTATACATGAATTTCCATGGTACAAAAAATAAAAGAAGAAATAGTTCTGAAACAAAGGCAGATCAAAGTGCGCTCCCTGGCTAGGTTTCTGTAGCTGCCTTTTGATTTTGCAGAAAAAGCCACCCCGTGAGAATGATCTCAAGCAGATAAGTAGCAGTTCCTCTGGAAGTCTTTCTCCAAATGCAGCAGTGCAGAGTCCTAAACACGAGTGGAAAATTGTTGCTTCTGAGAAGACCTCAAGTAAGCTGAATTTTGTTTATTATTAGACTGTTATGCGCCTGTGTAAGGGGAGGTAGAGAACAACAATATGTCTTTTGTGAGATACAGAGTACTTTGTAATTAGAACAATGTTGGGGGGAAAAGATTGCTGGCATCCCATCCAGAGAGGGAGGGTATAGATTTGCCTCATATTTTGGAATTAAATCCATTTTTTTCTTATTTCCTACCTTCTTTATTTACAGATAATACCTACCTATGTCTTGCTGTTCTGGATGGTGTATTTTGTGTGATTTTCCTTCATGGGCGCAATAGTCCCCAGAGTTCTCCAACCAGCACTCCACGGCTGATGAAAAGTTTGAGTTTTGAGATTCAACCCGATGACCTTATAGAGAAGCCCATGTCTCCAATGCAGTATGCGCGATCTGGATTGGGAACAGCTGAACTTAACAAGAAGCTCATAGCTGCAGGTAATTATATCAGAAATGCTACTAAAACCATGTATCACTGTATTTGGCCAGACTAGCATATATTTTATAGGTAATTGCTGATTTAGGTATGTGAGATTCCCTGTAGACATTCTCTATCAAAATATATCTTGCTCAATTTGTCCTATTTCTAGGTGGTTATAACAGAGAAGAATGCTTGCGCACTGTTGAATGTTACGATCCTCAAAAGGATTGCTGGACTTTCATTGCACCAATGAGGACACCAAGAGCTCGGTTTCAAATGGCAGTTCTCATGGTATGTCTGTGATAGAAGAGTACTGTTCCTATCCTGCATTCAAGGGTCTAATTACCTGCCATATCTTGTTTGTAGCAATTACAATATTTTTTATGGGGACAGGAATTGAAAGTGTCATTCTGATAATTACAGATGTTTCAGTAGGAAAAGGAAGTATCGTGCTCTACCATGAGACGAGAGAATGATCTCTAAAAGCTGTGTGGCAGTAATAATCCCTCTGTTTTCTTGGAAACTTTTGTGATGGTGATTTGCAACAAAACCCAAGCATATTTGTTTTACCTAAATTATTTAATAAATCTGTCTTGTTTTACTATCATTTCTTCAACTTAGGGTCAGCTGTATGTTGTTGGAGGGTCAAACGGCCACTCAGATGACTTGAGCTGTGGGGAAATGTATGATCCAGAGATAGATGATTGGATTCCTGTTCCAGAACTAAGGACTAACCGTTGCAATGCAGGTAAAAATATATAATAAATCTGTGGAAGCTATTTCTTTTTAAGTATTGCAGCAGTGAGTTAGGTTTGTTTTGTTTTGTTTTTAATGCTTAAACAGGAGTGTGTGCCCTGAATGGAAAGCTGTATATATTTGGTGGCTCAGATCCTTATGGTCAGAAAGGACTGAAAAACTGTGATGTCTTTGATCCTGTTACAAAATCTTGGACAAGCTGTGCTTCACTTAACATTCGTAAGTCTATTGCATTCTTCAAAATTAGATGGACTTGAGAATTATATGAATAGTAGAAAGTCTCAAGCTGTAGTGTAGCACAGTGAGCAGTCTTGTGCTGTCTCCAGATGTTTGGGTGCACAAAGTCCAAAAACCCTAACCACCATGGTCAGGAATTGCGTGAACTGTAGCACAACATTTCTAGGAAGTATCAGACTACTTATCCCTTACAATTAATGTGGCACTAGATGAAGACAGCATTGGCCACTGCTAGTTTTGATGTTTACTGACAATTTTCTTACTAATGGCAAGAGAAAAAAATCCATGCACTACAGTGGAAAAAGTGTCCAGTCTAAGTTATATAGAGTGCATAAGTGAGAGCTGCAGCATATGGAATCAACATAATCAGATACTTGGCTATCTTGAATATATTGGCATTAACTGACCAATATTCACTATGGGATCACTGGAGGCTTCTGGCAGCCATGAAAACACTGTTACTGATAGGAGAGTTTAAACCATGCCTTTTTTGTCATGATAGTTCAACTTCTGTTGGCTTTTGATTTATAGGTAGACACCAAGCTGCTGTATGTGAGCTTGATGGATATTTGTATATTATTGGGGGAGCCGAGTCTTGGAACTGCCTTAATAGTGTTGAGCGTTACAATCCAGAAAATAATACTTGGACACTGATTGCACCGATGAATGTGGCTAGGCGTGGAGCTGGTGTTGCTGTACTTGATGGTAAGCTTGTGGAAGTGGAAACAGATTTAGTTGGAGGGGGGCTAGTTATGATGTTCAGGGTAGAACTGAAATCTTATGAAAAATATATTTGCATAATTCCTAATACTTATCTTTTGGTAGGATATTCTCAAGGGAATCCTGTCATATGCCATATAGGTACTATATTCTAGGCAGTCTTAATTTGAGAATTCCCACCCATCTTTTGACAGAGCGATATGCCAAATGGATGGAATATGACTTTTAAAGTTATTGTTTCCTGCCGCTGTCAAATTGCTGAGCCGGATTTGTGGCGGTTTTTCTCTTTCCCAGTCTTTTTTGATACTCTTAATATATGTTTATGTAAGATATATTGGCTGAAATGCTATTGCTGTAAGTTACACTGCATAAGGCTGATGTTGTCAGTTGTGGAATTTTTTCAGAAATTAAATATTTCCAGTTTGTCCTGAAGGTCCTGAGGCTGCTATGAAATCTTTTATCATTGAGAAGCTATTGGGGACTATGGAAGGGAGATCTTTCGTCACTAAAAATTGCCACTGCTGGGATGATCAGTGGTTGCGATTTTCAATAAAGACTTCCATCTGCTGTTCCATGGCCCCAACAGCTCTCTAACAATGAAAATGATTGCATGGGAGTCTCAGGCCCTATACAAGAGGAATTGGAAATGTTTCTTTTACCAAAAAAAACAACATTGTGATAGCTGATGACATTATCAACCTTTGTTAGCATAACATATGTGACAGAATTTCAGCCACTGAGGTATTTGCTCCAGTTAAACCTAATTGGTATGCAGTGGGATAAATGACATGGAGCACTGTGACAAAGAACTCTTGAATGCTTGCAAGCTCAGCTACATCTTAAGTAAACATGCACTGCCCAGAATATCAGTATGCAGTGAGCCTGTAGAGACCCAAGTATCAACAGTGGCAGTAGGCTTGAGGTATCTAGAAGACAAGTACAGAAGTATAGTTCTGAAAATTTATAATTAGTCTTTGAGCTAAGATTTTTGAAATCAAGCTTAATATAGATCATATCCCTTACTATCCAGTCAAGTCCTAACTACAGAACAGATTTTGTATACAAAATGTGGTGTTGGTTTTTTTTCTGGTAGGGCTGCACAAGAACAGTCCTCTAGAGTTTGTCTCTTTTTCACTTCACAGGAAAACTTTTTGTTGGTGGTGGCTTTGATGGTTCACGTGCAGTCAGCTGTGTGGAGATGTATGACCCTGCTAAGAATGAGTGGAAGATGATGGGCAGCATGACCCTTCCAAGAAGCAATGCTGGTTTTGCCACAATGGGCAATACCATCTATGCAGTGGGAGGATTTGATGGTAATGAATTTCTGAACACAGTGGAAGTCTACAATCTGGAGTCAAATGAATGGAGCCCTTATACAAAGATCTATAAATATTGACTTAACACAGTTCTCCTCAAAACTAACAGGCTTAGTGATGTAATTGTTTTAGTAGAAGTACACATGTGACTATAGAAGGTGGGGGAGGGATAAGTCGCCATCAGCAATACAAAGCTTTTGCATATTGTGTACTATTAATATGCTGTACATATTTTTACTTACAATATGTGAAGGGTGTTCTGTGTATCAGAATTTGTTACTTTGGATCCTGGAAGCTGGTTTCCCCTGAGAAAATTAGAATGACGGCTGATGGCTCATCATTTTGAGAGCTTTCCCCAATGTTTGTTTTGCCAGTTTGCACAACACATGCTTTTTCCTTAGAGTTTGTTTCTGGTGCAGGAAAAGGTAGTGATCTTCAATGTGCAAAATACTTTTTAGGCCTTGTTTGGATTTCTTTTTTATCTTAAGCAACTGGAACAATGTAATAAGCCTTATTTGAATAGATAAATGGCTTTATTATTTAAAGAAAACACCTGACACACCTGCCAATTTAACTGCCTTTTATAACTTTTTATATTTATAGTCAGAAATTGTTATATCTGAATTGACTTAAGATACAAATGTGTTGAAACAGAGATAATCTCAAAGTTCATAGACTGGAGTGAGATGTGTCATTTTCCACTATGAGACCTTTTAAAAGTTTTTTCCTTGCTAAAATGTTACATAAACCATAGTGCACAATATTGATTTTCATTGCATCAGAGTGGAGTTTTCTAAACATGGCTTTAATGTGACTGAAAAGCCTGGCTCTGAAATTTATGTAAGGTAGACTTGCTTTTCTGTATGGTTCATAGATTATGCAGTTTGAACAAACATGCAGAGCTGCAAAATGCAAATACTGTGTGATGTGTTAGCAAGGTCACCTATTTGAACATTATTGTACAAGTTTGTATCTTTCTACTGCAAGCCTAAAACATGATATAATACAAACTGCTTTGTTTGTTTAAAAGTTTCTGTTTTGTATTCTTCCTCTTCCTAACTTACCCATTCCTAACCTGTTATCTTCCAAGTGTTAGTCCAGTACATTGCTGTCAACCAGCATGATCCATTTTAATCTGGTGTTCATTATGAGTGGTGTTAGGATGAACCTGATTTCAGTTTACACATCTCCCTGGATTCCACTCTATATACAGTAGGTTATCTTCCAAGTGTTAGTCCAGTACATTGGTGTCAACCAGCATGATCACAATCATGAGCCATATGCAGTATTACTTGGGCTTGCCCAATAACATGAGGTACTCCATCCTTTCATAACATGAGCAGTTTAGATAGGAGGACTTTGACTGACTATCCCTCTGCACTGCAAGAAGCTTTGGAACAAGCTAACTTCAAACAACCAGCAGAAAAAGAATTAGGTTCTTGCATTTAAGGAGCCTTCCTGCATATAACTTATTTATGAGATTGTTGAATTCTTCTAGTAGCACAGGCTTGGTGACTTCCAGTAGTAAGTACTATGGACAAACATTCAGCCTTTGAGAAGGCTCACTTACATGATCTGTTGGATCAAATATAAGGGCTCCTTGGATTAGTGGTAGGATTTGGAATCTATCAGAGGTTCTTTATTTCATATAATGTCACCTAAACATTGGGCTTACGTAGACTGCTCATTTGCAGTATTGTTGTGAGTTAAATAGGATCACACAAGGCCTGGTAGAGGACTGATATGCTGTGTGGTGCGATCTTTGCATACATATGGCACAACCATATTTGGTCTGCTTCTCTCAAGAAAAAAAAGTTCCTCCTTGCCCCCTTGTCTCTCCTGTTTCTGGGAGGAAGCTTTCATTTTTTTAAAAAATAAGTACAACACATTAGTGCTTCCCTAGTTGGATTTTTAAAAAGATCTTCCTCTTCTCCATGCAGGAATAAAGAAAAAGTTTTCAAGTTCCCAATTTCCCTGTATCATTAAGTGGCAAGGCTGTCTGTTTAAACCTCTAATGGTGTTGGGAAATCTGTTTAAACCACTAATGGTATTGGGCAATCAGTGCACGGAGCTCGCTTTGGTTTGATGCTAGTATTTACACATGCTGGAAGTAAACCAAAATGAGCAATCCTACAGGCACAAAAAAAATAGTAGTCCCTGACAGTGTCCCAGAAAAGTGTGGGTTTAAATGTTCTATGGGCAGGTTAGTTTGCTTCAGCAGTTATGTTGCCTGATTACAGGCAAAAGGATCAAAACAGCCTGTCCCCAGAGTGGACTAAACAGTGGGCTGAATGCTTATCAACTCATCCTCCGCAGATGGATTTATGCTCCTGTTGCTTCCAGTGCCATCTCTTATGCTGTTTTTGTGGATACTGCAATGTAACACAGCAGATTCTCAGAGGATGAGTCAAATTTTTCTTCCCATCATTACACTGAATTTGTTAGGATTTGATGATGTGATTTTTTTCTGCTTTTCTTATATATTTCTCTTAGGAAATTCCTAAAGATGTGGGATATATACTGTATTCATAATATAAACTGAAAAACCAAACAGGGCTTTGCTTTCCATTCTCTAAATTGCATTTTTAGGATATCTACCAGATAGATTTATGTACAGAAATGAAAAAGGTTACATTTTTCATTAAACATCAAAAACAAAACAGGAAACTTTGAGCTTGAGTAACAAAAATCATTTTACTCTTTGGGAATTCTCTTGATATTTACCTTTATCTCATTCTACCTGTTTTTATCCTGGAATCTTTACATAATTTTTTCTTAGATTGTTTAAAAAAATAAGATCCACAATTGCTTTCATTTTCTCCTTAAAATGTCAACGTGAATTTGAAAAGCATCTTGTCTGTAATCTTTTTGGCTTTTTACCTAAACAGCATTTGGAAAGCTGCTGCTGGATGGACTACTTGTTACCTAGTATGTTCTCAGAGCACATGTTTGAAATCATAAGTGTTCTGAAAATATCCATCTTTGAGCATTGGGGAGTAGCCGTTAGTCTCTGCACTGATCAGAGCCTTCTAAAGCACTTTGATCCCTGCTTTCCTCCTCCACTTTATTTGCAAGAAAGTGGTGGGGGAAGGCAGGGAAAGCATTTTCTTTGCAAGAAAATGGAGGGGGGAACGCAGGAATCATCAAAGCGCTTTGATCCCTGCCTTCCTGCTCCACTTCCTTGCAAAGAAAGATGTTGGGTTAGAAAAAGGGGAGGGCATTTTATACATGAAGGTGTCCTATACATGGGAAAATACAGTATATGCTTGTTTCTGAAAAATTAAGGGGATTACATACTCAGAAAAAGGAAATTCCCATAGGTGAGAGCATCCTAGGCTATTATAGACTACAAAGCCTGGAAAAACTAGCAGAGGGTTAAGGTTGGGCATCCTTGAATGGTGCTATAAGGATGGGGGAGGGGACAGGACAAGATATTTCTCTGGACATTAAGAAGACCAAAATCATAACTAGAGAAGAACTACACAATGTTAGCATTGACAATGAGGAAGCTGAAATAGTTTGAGATTTTGTATACCTTGGGTCAATCAACAGTCCAAATGGAAACTGCAGCAAAGAAATCAGAAGACTTAGACTTGGAAGGGGAGCAATGAAGGATTTTGAAAAGATCAAGTGTAAGGATGCATCACTGGAGAACAAGGATCATCCAGATGCTTGTATTTCGGATCACCATGTATGGGTGTGAAAGATGGCTAGTAAAGAAGGTTGATGGGGGGAAAAGATCCATTTGAAATATGCTGGAGGAGAACTTTGTGGACACCCTAGACTGCCAGAAAGATAAGCAACTGGGTTCTAGATGGAATCAACCCTAAAATGTTTCTGGAGTAAAAAAATGTTAAAACTGAGCCTGTCTTTGGGCACATCATGAGATCAGGCAGAATTCTCTGGAAAAGACAATAATGCTGAGAAAGGTGGAAGGGAGTTGGAAAACAGGAAGGCCAAATACAAGGTAGATTGACTCCCTAAAGGAAGTCACAGGCTAGAGTTTACGAGAGCTGAGCAGGGCAGTTGAGGACAGGACATTCTGAAGATTGCTCATTGTGATGTTCTTCTGCTAAACAGCAACAAAGATTCAAAATAAAATAGAATAGCTAACAGCTTCTGACAAGTACTGGGATATACTCAATGATAATTGTTTCTAATCATTCTGAGTTTGATTTCCTGTACTCTCAGCTGTGTTATGTGGTCTCAAGTGAACTCCAATTTATGGTGAAACCACTGAGGTTTCCAAGATGTGAGGTATTTAAGGAACAGTTTTACGATGATCCCACATACAAACACACTGAATGTCTACAGCTGAGCAAGGTTTTGAACCTATATCTTGAGTCCTTGTCTGGCACTCTCTCCCCTACGTTACATGACAAACTCTGAAATTTAAGATCAACATTTCAAAACAAATGCTATAGTTTTTTTGTTGTTCCACAGATCAAAAATCTGTGTTTTGTCACACCCTTCAAACTGGTGTAACTGCCCTGTGTTGAAACCTGTGGACACCTTAAAAATGTCCACTCAAAACCTATCCCAAAGTTTTAGGTTTTCTGTACATTGTCCAGGTCCAGCTGTGGAAACCTACTAATTTGGTGAAACACTGAGTTATGCGGCAATGGTGGTTTTTGGACAACAGATTTATATATCCATTGGGGTCTAATACACAGTCATCATCTTCAGAAGCTCGGGCTATCGTGAAGAGAAAAACAGTAAATATGAATTTATTTGGAATAACAAAATTGTTGCTGTTTCGAGCAGTTGCAGTATTACTATTTCTTCTGAGAAATCTGCCTCAAGAAATTCCTTTATCTTGTGCATAAAAGTTTTGACAGGAGTGAATTCTTAAAACACAAACAATCACACTTCAGTTTAAACCAGTGCCTTCACTTTAATTTTCTTTTACTGCTTTCTTTTCCACCCATTTCTGAAGTTAATTTTTTCCTGAGTGCCAGGAAGGAGCAGTCAGTTATAATTTTTGCACATTTGATTAAGAAACAATGTATTTTACTGATTTTTTTAGTCAATTGTGCTTGACAAAAGACATAAAGAGCTACCCTATTTCCCGAAAATAAAACCTAACCTGAAAATAAGCCCTAGTATGATTTTTCAGGATACTCATAAGCCCTACCCCAAAAATAAGACCATTAAGTGAAAGCCCACCCTCCACCATTGTGCAGCAGCCAGAAGAATATGACATGCCTGTATTTGAATAAAGGTAGATTGTTGTACATGGAAAAAAATCCCCTGAAAATGAGCCCTAATTTGTTTTTGGGAGCAAAAAATTAATATAAGACCCTATCTTATTTTCAGGGAAACACAGTATTAAAGATTTGGCTTATGTTTGGAGTAAAATGGACAGTGTCCTTTTGAAGTGCTCACTGGGTCCCTCAAATGACATTTGCCAGTTGCATCATTCTGGGTGCTTCTGTACCACAAAATGATTACAAAACTGTGGCATAGGTTGGGAGTGAAAATGACAATGTTGGGGGGATTTGACATTAACAGTGCAGATTTCCCGACACAACCTGCACTTTGTTAGGAGGCATCAATGCCTACTGTCTCACTTAACAGCACCGGCTGCACCCCAGAAGCAGATTCCAGTGGACTGTCTGGAATTTTGTTTCCTGTCATTTTGATGTCGTGTCCAGTCCTTTGATCAGACCAGCAAGGCCTTGTCCCACGCCCTGGTGGTTCTCCTCTTGGTCTAGGACAGTGGCATCTATACAGTTTTCCAAACAGGTTTCCAGTACCTCTGCATTTCAGTACCTTTCTGCAAACAGAAAGATTTGAGATAAGGTTCAGCAGAGATATTGTAGAAACCTAGCCAACGTGATAGTACTAGCATTGTTGATACTGTGAAGCTCTGCAGAAATTTATGAGTATTAACAAAAAAAAACCAATGATAGGATGAAATACATTTTATCCTGCTCTGTAAATGCTGTTCCTGGCTATTCTGTTTACATGATCACACCAAGAGGATGTGCCCTTTACAGTGTCTCTAAGTTCAGTATCTTACCAAAGAGAGA